CCCATAGTGGACGAGTTTCAACGGCTTTGTAGAGGCTGTACTATCTCAGGAGGCTTCCATGTAAGAAGTTCAAACAACTTGTCGTAACCCATGGCGACAATGTACGGTAGTTGCGAACGATTTCGGCTTAATGTAGTCATCTCTTTGCGCAATGGGGGCAAGTTATGTAAGTATCGCCGAAGCACCCCTTATATGCCATTCTAGCACGGTGATCTCGTACAATCTCTACTTTCCCTTTTTTAAAAAGCTCTGAAGTATTCTGATTTTTTTTCCGCTTTCTTCGCCACTTCTTACTTCTCTGCAGCAAAACTTCGGCTTTCCAACCTAAGAACCTCAAAATACCTACCTCAAAATTATCGTGAACTGTGCTTTCAAAGGTACGGATTATGGGAATTGACAGGGCTCTAATGTAGTGAGCACGGTAATGTCATAGCAAAATCGTTGACACTCGATGTTGCTGTCTTTTGAAGCAACAATTTGTGTCATCTCCGGAGAAAGTCGAAGCAGAATGGGCGTGGCTATGTCGAGAAGGAACGAAGGAAACGCCTCTTTGCGTTGTTTCCACCTCCAACTACGCAAAGGCAATATTGATCATGTAAACACAGAGATACAAGGGCTGCTTGATAAGCCGTTCGGTAGCTGGTAAGGTGCATTGTTAAAGAAGTTCATCCAAACGAAGTTAATCAAGATTATCATCATGGAGAGGTAAGTTCAACTGAACTTTTGTCTCACAATTGCAGTAAGGTTTTCGTCCTTGCATGAGCATATGAAACCTAAATTGTAATCTGGATAGGGCTGTACGTCATGTAGAACTGTGGATTTTCAAGGCATGACGTAATCTTTTGGAAAATCTTCCTGTTACCTTACGCATATGCAAGCTAGGAGTTGAGGCTGCCATCTGAACTCATGAGTGAGTCAGCCTGAGTCAGTATGAACCTGGCGGTATCGTCACAGTTCTGAAAGATGGTAAGTGGCATCCCATGTGTTAGAATGACAACGAAAACGTGTAGAAGCTAATACCAGTATACACAGTCATCTCGTACAACAGCCGATCTCCAAGCGTTTGCACTTCAGAATGGGCATAGACTCGAAAGGCATCCGATCGATACCTATTCAGAGCATATACACGTTGAAATAGTGAGATGAAGTCGAAGTCGAACGAAAAAATCCAATAAAGTTGGATGCTAGCTCCAGCTTAACTGTCGCTTTACAACACGATCTGCCCCTCCTAGTCCCACTCTTTAACAGTAAGCATCACTCATAAGAATTCGTATTCAGCAGCGACGAAGCGGCAGGAAGCGGCTATCCTTTAGCTGTGCTAATAGCAATCGGAGCGGTATCATTTATAGCGTACTTTTTGCTAACTGAAAGTAGCAATTCCAGATGTAGAGGTGAGTCGCAATACTGATAACCTATGGTAGTATCGAATATTTCAGTATTTTATTGCAATAGCATGGAAACGTTGTAGGAAAGTTCGCCAAAAATGAAGGACCAATAAAGGTACCCCCGGAGTATATGAACATTCCAAGCAGCCCTGATGTGGTAGGTTTGATCGAAGTACTCTGACAACCCTTGGCGGAGTTTCATCATTATAAATGATTGTAAAGTTATTTGTAGTGGTTTATACTTAGCCACATTGACACACATCACCAATATGAACACAACATTATTGTTAGCATCAGAACTGGGAAGTCAGATTGTGAAAAAAGTAGCCGTGAGCATAGCAGCAGAGTGTAGCTATAAAAAATATAAAATATAAAATGTTAAAAATATAAAATGATTTATCGCATAGAAGTGAAAAATTAAAATTAGACCATCAACGCATGTCAGCGTACATATACTAGCATTTGATTAAAAAAGCTGCTCATGAGAAAATATCCTTCAAATTCAAAACTGAACAAACAAAAATCAAATAGGATCGAACAAGATCGCCGAATATATTCGTATTCCCTATATTGTCTTCCTATTGTCAAGGAGGTTCCAACAGCGCAGATAGCGGATCTGAAACAACTAACGACTGTCTTCCCTACTTGAAATATGCGAACTTTCCTGACCTTTTTTCGACCGAGCAATACTTTCTGAAAGTCTGAACGTTAGTGTCATGGAAGGTTGAAGATGAGCTCACTAGTCTTAGTCAGAGCCTGAAGTTATGAAAAAAACGAGGCAAGTCTGCCCAAATACAGCAACACTCCTAAGGACAACCCCACTAGCCCACAATGCACATCTGTGAAGGGAGGATTGCACTGGTTAAGACTGATTTCGAATCAAGGAGAATAATCTACCGCTGTCGTTTGCTCAGAGGAGTTGCAGCGATTATCCCTACGACCCTCAATCTGTAGATTGTTGGAATTCTGTGAAGATCTAGGAAACGTCCCAAGCTTGCGGGTGACTGCTGCACACTCCTTCCTTCTACGTTCCAATAGAAGCGGCATTATTCCACTAGGCCTCCAAGGTGTCTAGAGTAGCAATCCAGATTTAAGCATGAGGATTAGCATATGCTGTCGGTAATAAACTCCATAAGCCTGCATGGTTCAAGGACGCATCGGGACCACTAAACAGCAGAAACCAACCTACGACTTCTAGAATGTTGAAGGGGTTCTGGATCGGTATACCGAGTTTCCGAGAACACCGAATTCCATCTCTCAGAGTTCTTTGAGGTCGAAGTGGTTATCGACATGATTGGAACTGATAATTATTTTTCCGATAATCATTTTCCACGTGCACGACAACGAGGGTGGTCGATTCCTTCTTCAACAGTTAAAATCGAGGTGAGCCTCAATCAAATGATCCCTATCTGGGTGGTCTTTTAGTTGATGAGATTACCTGGGGAATGGCATTTGGGTGGACATGTCTGATTTGTTTCTTTTCATATTCATTTCAGGTTCTGAGCAAAGCCGACGTGAGCCTAAAAAATCTTATACCTGAAGAAGAGTCAAAATATGTTTGAACAGTCTAATACTCTTATGAAGAAAGACCAAATCATTCGTACACGTATCGTACGTTCACAATGACTTGGAAAAAGCAGTCGATGGGTAACATGCTGCAGTTGCCGTAACTCTTTTGCAAGACATAGAACCAGGTCTTAAAACAAGTCATGAAAACTGTTTCAGAGATACTCCTTCCAGAACTTCCTCGCGTGCCATTTATCTCGCGTAGGGTGTGGGCACTTCCCCCGAAAATTGTCCCGCGCTCGCCGCGCCCGATCGCGCGCTACGAAGGGGAAGGTTTGCATACTCAACGAAACGGTACGGCACTCGTTGTGAAACTGCTGCCGCAGTGATCGCAGTGCGAATTCACTAGAAATTGGCACCAAACCCTCACGTAAAGCTATGGTCGTAACATATTGTGTGGGAGGACAAAGGTACTGGCTTGAAATGGTCCTGCAGACTCAGTTATTCATCTAAATATCTCATATGCCTCCACTATTATTATACCAACATCGAGCGTGTAACTCTATCAACAAATGCAGTTTTGCATTCAAATTACATAACTTCGTTACGTTCGTTTTCCCCATATTTGCCTTCTCATTTCAGAAAGAACAAGAGGAAAAAAGTACTGTACCAAGCGTAAGTCACCACGACATTTTGATATGAGTCTTTCGTCATATGGGGAATCTGTGAAAAGGTTACCTTCACTGCAATATTATTTTCTACTGTATTCTCCATTCATAATAGTGTCACCTCATCAGTTCGTCCACTTTAGAGCTCTGCCGTTTCCCCATGAAATAGCCCCCAAAAACAGGAATCTCTGTTGACTTCACCTAGAAGTGGCGAAGTTCTATAGAAAGAAGTAGCGCCATTCACGACGGAGAGTAATTGCTGAAAATTCAAAAAGCTGATCGCCTGCAATGTACAGCGGTTAAATTCATAGTAGCGACGCTGACTTCGGCTCCATGACGCTGATGCCGCTTAGCGATCGATAGCACGCAGGTCGATAACTCATGCCGCATTCGACACCTATTCGATGCACTTGAACATTCAAATAAAACGAAAAAACGTTTATTGATTTAGAAATCTCGGTCGATCAGGATGATCGTCGACCATCTAATATGAAATAAATTCCACCACAGAAGCATGAATGTTACTAACATAAACATTAAAACATATAACTGAATCAGAAAACATCCGGTAGAGAACAAATATGTAACAAACGCAAGTATCAAACAGCAGAAAGCCTTGAATCAGCTGATATAAGAAAAAAGGGCAAAGCACGCAAACACACGCTTTCTCAATACAAGGAAAACATCCAATAATGCAGCAACAGTCATCGACATGCAAGATATCAATTCTTCTGCATTCTGAGCTGAGGTCAGCGTTCGCATCGATAGTATGAATGCAGTCAGTGTGACCAGTGGCGACGGTGAAAAGCAATTTTGGTCGCAGGGACTCTGGCGAATAATTTCGCAGTGGCTCAGAGCATGAACCTTGTCCAACTTTTGCCATGGTCCGTCTGACTGCAGCTCTGTAGAATCGAGAAGCTTCATACTTTGCGGACTCGACGAGTTTTCTTGCTTTCTTCTCGACGCTGTACTTTTCTGCACCAATACTTTCACTGATTAGTTTAAATGATACCCTAATACTATCGCGTACGTTCTAGAAGATGCTTCCCCGAGAAGCATGCTCATTCCATTTGCTACAGCATAGGGAGAAAATTGTAGATAATGAAAAATCACGATAATGAATAAGTGATTGTGAGTAGTAATGATTAAAAATAATCAATAGTCAAATTATATTCCGAACAAACCTGACAAGTGCGGAACGCTAACAAAGATATCTTCAGAACGAGGCGCTACATAAAAGTGCGTCTTCACACTCGAGCACTGAGGTAAGTCAACGAATTTTAAACTATGTTGTAGAGTAGTGAAGCCGATTAATAAGAATAAATTGCATTGGCAATAATATGACTAACCAGAAACAAAAGCATATCGCTTGAGTGATCCGCTCGTAACGAGTGAAAGTAGGAGGCTTTGCACGCTTATCCCGCCACTTTAGCACGTCCTTCGCTACGCACGCTAAGGCATGCAACACATCACAAAATGACCCGTATTGGTTAGGGTGATCAATATAAACAGTACCAGTGAACTTCCGGGGAAAGTCCGCTGCGCGCGTCCGTCGAAAGTAAGTCACTCCGATCCACTTCGCGCGTGGCGCAGTCCACCGAGGTCTCGAGATGACATCACAGTGCTCCCACGTGTCAGTGGAGCGAATGATCTGCATTTGTCCGTGCTATCTTCTCTTTGAGGTCGCTGCCGTGGACCAAACGCAAATCGTATGCCCCACTGACAAATCGACGTCCGCTGAGTATTGCAGGCTCATTCGCCGCATGCGACGGTTGCGGCGTGACCTAGTTTCAACAGATGCGCGCAACTAAGCGCACTCCTGAACTTCCTATTGTGTAAGGATGTTCCTCACCCATTTTGACATGCACCATGACATTACATGCATGATATTTCACAATCTCATCGCGCCTACGTGACTTTCCGCGGATAGACGCACAAACCGACATACAAATAAATGCACAAAGTTAGTGCTTTATATATGGAGAGATTTCAGTAATGCCACGCACTGCCTCCTAAATACCCTCCCACCTGGCAATTCGAAAATCAGTTCCCATCGGCAGCACAGAGCGGCACACTTCAGTTGTGGACCGCTCTGAGCCTGCATTCATAATACTTTGTTCGAAGGCAGATAGTTCGTAATGAGAGCCACCATGATCATTCCCAACGGAAGCATCAAATCACTATGTAGAATGCGTTTCAATGGGTTCAGCAATGGTAATCTAATAGTTCAGGTGATAGTTAAAGAGCAAGATGACAACAAGACCAACAGCGCCCGATCTACGGAGAATGTTGGTGAAGTTTTATAAGGCAGTTCGAAAACCAAAAAGAACTTTTGTTCTGAAATAGTGATGTTTTTGTTCACGGGATAGTTGCATTAATCACATATAGCGAAGGAATGCTTGGAAATCCACATGAACCTTCATAGGGACATTTCTAAAATTTATTCGCTGACAAAAGAATCCACCTTGAGGTGGTCCTGAGTGACAAAAACATTTACTTTTGCTTTCAGAAGGAGTCATTACGTGCGGTTTCATCATCGAGTTCTGAAGTAAGTTGAAAGACGTTAGTAATGACACTGAAATAAGCTGAAAATGTGGGTTCAGCCCAGCAGTCCTGTTTTAAATCAGTTTCCTCCAATACCCTTTCTAGGTACTGCCCTAGCCCTTATTCAACACAGACTTAAAGGCACAGTTCACGATAATTTTGGGCAATCAGATTATGATGAAAAATGGAAGACAAGATCGAAACTAGTGCGACTGAGGTGTAGAAACTGCGTGCATCAGTGTTTCCAAAGTGAAAAAAGGCTTCGAAAAACCGTTAAAAAGGGGGCTGGACGAGAATGAAACCAGAAAATGAAGAAGAGTGGGACGNAAAAATTCATTCACTTAAAAGCATAAATAAACAAAAAATCCTAGTAACAGCAAAAGTAGCTCACCTTTTTCAGCCTCTAGGAGTAGGAAATTAAATAAGGGATCGCGACAGCAAAAAGAAAAACAGAGGAAAAAAGAATGGGAGAAAAACATCGCCTCGTCACTCGGCGATTAGTTGATTGTGCGTGGGTCTTAGAACGAATAATAGCAATCTGTATTGTCTCGACAATCGTCCCTTCTACCACCCATGGGGGGCGCTGAGTATTCCTCAGTAACCTTTTTTATCGTGAACCGTGCCTTTGAGCAAAAGCTCTTCATATATGAAACTCAATTCAACTAAAGAAACTAATCCAAGAATACATTGGTTTTACTGTAGTCTTTTCGATTCAGATGACAGCTCGAAAACAACTCGGCAGCAAAAGTGAAACAAAGAAGCCATCAGAGGAAGTTCGCGAAAAAAGTTTTAATCACAAATTTAAGCAGACTGTGCCGTAATAGATTTTCCGATCTGTAACTTCTTACACTTATTAATTGCGGTTGTAGGACCTATTTCGGATGAACTTTTACATATGTACTCCAAAATTATGCTTGCTAACACAAAATGAACTTCTTACTATGAAAATCATATTTTCTATGAAATCGCCCTTGGCGTTTCCCAATCAGTGGAAATGTCCTGATTGAAAGCAGAGCTCGAGGACTTCTTTGCAGAGTGACGAAAGTATTTAGAGAAACTTGGAAAAAAGCGGAAAGTGGTTTTTATTACAAACCGCATGATAGTCGTACAAAATCCAAAGGTATTTTCTCGAAGCTACTAGAAGCTTATTATTCATTCAGGAAAAGGCCACTGAAGGAAAAGGGTCAACCTCACGACCAAAAACTGACGTAAGTTAAAGTTTATTGCAAAAGGTTACTGTGTAATCCAAAAGATATCGTATGAATTCCGTGTACTGTTTCCTTCATAGAATATGCTTTAGGAGCAACATGGGAGCAAAAGCGAAACGAAGAAATCTCCTGAAAAAGTTGGTTGAGAACAATTTTTAGCCGAAGTTAAATTGGCCGTGCACATTCTCCTATTCAGCCAGACCGTTCTGATGTTCCCGACGCCGTGAGCTCCAGTAGCGCTAAACTTACGGTTGGCTCGCCTCTTTCTTTCTTTTTGGAAAAGAAGGGGAACTTTATCTTTTGATTTGCTTTCTTTTCGGGGTCAGAATCGTGCCATGAAGAGCTATCAAATAGGTCGATTGCGGATTTATGACTTCAGTGTAGCACTCACTCAGTCAAATTGTTTTTTCCGGGTATATACGCTGCTCCTACAGTCGAGTGGCTCACAGTGGCTACTCATTGAACTTATACGTATCGTGACAAGCATCAGGACGAAATTTTGCTATGGATATCGCGTGAGCAAGACAAAAACAACACCAAAAAACTCCCTTCGGACCAAAGGACCCTTTCAAGCAATACGGAAATAGAAGAGGAGCCTGTAGAAAAACGTGCCGAGTTACGACCGCAACAAGTACAGTATCATTGTACAGTAATCTGGATAGAAACAAATGGGGACAGTATTGATGCTTCGAAACAACATGATTAAGTGACTAGTAGTTATCGACGGGATTTTTCAGAACTTTCTCGAATAACCTGCAGAAGAAGAGCGATGCCCTCACAATTTAGTAGTTTTCGTAGTTGCATCAAAGATATTTCCTCAGCATAAGTGTAACATAGTATGAAGTCTGCGATCCTTTAGTAAATGTGGTGTATATCGCGGAATTCAGCGCGAGAAACCCTCTAAGAGTGACAATGACTTGTTAAATATATAAGCAAAAAGCTCGCGGATGATAGGAGCCCCTCTCTGCATGACAAAGATCGACAGAAATTCAGAAAAGACAGACGAGGAAAAAAGCCAAATCATAATTAGTCTGGGAACCTGAGAAAGTAGGAAAAGGAAGGTTTCCCATGAGCTGCACAGTGTAAAGGAAGGAAATAGAGTCGCTCCCATTATCATGCTGAAAGACGCCTCCAAAAAAGCGGCTAGACATTTGGGCCAGAACTGCGCCTCCAGGACGCCATCGGGACGATCACATACGAACACATCATACTCACTTGCAATGTATCCAGATATCCACAAAGCAAAAGCGCTTAGGCATTAACAGAATCCCCGTAGATGCGAAAATGTCGTGATTTTCGAAAATGTAATAAAAAAATGAAAATCTGATGCCATTACAAAACATACAATACTCACGCGAAGCCTGAGTTGCTCGTTGCTCTGAGCTAGTTAAGACATTTTTGTTCATTTAGGAACAGGCTCCTCGCAAAGCTTTGCAACCAAAAAGTGAGGTAAGTGAAAACTTTTGACAGAAGGCGTAAGGCTGATAGTTGGAAAACTACCATATAGAGCCAGGGTACTGTTAGAGCCCATATTTATTACAGATAAAGGAACAACTTGGAGGCAAAAGCAAAACGAAGAAGACTTCACAAAAAGTTGGTAGAAAACATTTTAGCGATGATTTTGAAATGATTGTGCAGAATCCCTTATTTAGTCGGCTTTCTCCGATCTTCCCGACGCTCTGAGCTTCACTAGTGCTGAACTTGGGGTAAGTTTGTGTACTTTTCTTTTCGATAGCCAATAAACTCATACTATTCGAATTGCTATACTCTCGAGCTAACGACCATGCAGTGGCAAGAGCTGGTAATGTTTTACAGAGTGGAAAGTTAGTTTCCACTCAATTCAGTTCCAGTCTCCCCATGGTAAACGCAAGAGCACAAGGATCATCACTTCAATTTGTAGCAGCATAGTCCGTCCCAGATAGTTAGAGCTAGTAGTGAGGGAGGTAGCTGATAGTCACCATCGGTTGCATGTAAAAGAATAACTCGAGGGTGGGGCTCACTCGAATAGTAAGGTAGTGATCTCGAGTACACACGTTCCTTTCAAGGAACCCACACTCCTGGGACCTACAGGAGCTTTTATGATCAGTTGAGAGCATCAAACTACATATCATCGATTTCGGGCTCCCAAACAAAAACGGTAATAATGACCCGGCACACTAGGGAGAAATCGTTTGAATGGGGGTGTGGTTGAATGGCGTTGGCTGATACTACATTACGTTTATCATGTACTCTTTGTAAACCTCTTTTCTGATATGAAACTTGTATTGATCGGATCATATTTGAGGGTCCTTCGATGAGACTATCCGATGAATCAGGAGGACTGGTATCGAACAAAACTCACGAATCGCTGACGGTGAGTTTTTTTCGTAGCGAAGTGACGGCTAGCTCATTACCGCTTCTGGATATGTAACTGTCGAATACTATGGCTTAGGTGACTTAATTTTGAAGGATATCAAAGCATCCGAGAAGGACGAAAAGGAACAAAAGAAACATGCAGTTGAGGCTCAAGTGGGAAAGCATTCAAATGAGACAAGTGCACCGAAAAGCATTAGCGAGAGTAAAGTATCGAAGGTGAGTTCACATTGACATAAAGATTGGTCGAACTTCTCGGGTTCAACTACAATCCTTCAAGGGATGCATGACTGCTGTAAGGCGCAAAAATCGCCAGCCGTGCGTAGGGTTACAGTAACATTGCAGTACTAGTTACAGCTAGATTAGAGTAACATCGCAATACTACAGCGCTCCCGGAAACTTACCGTAATCTCTACCGTATTCCCTAGCCTTAGTTTTTCAGAGCGCGTCGCCAATGAAATCCTCAGAAATCGTAAGTCCGAAATTTTGTTGAATAGTTTGCTAACCAACTCAGTGAAACTTCTATTAGTGGGTAACGCCGTCGAAAATTTCGCAGTTCTTCGAATTTTCCCTGTAAACTTCTGGAAGTGTCAATGGAATTGCTATACAAGAGTGAATACCATTTGTATACGCACATCTAGTGGTTTCATGATATCGCAAACGGTCGACCGGCCACATTTTTTTGATTTTCTCCATTCTGGGCTTGAACATTCGGAATTGTGTCTTCACAGATTCGCTTGAAAAGTGCTCTAGGGTCGAGTGCATTACCCAAATTTTGATGGGCTTCATCAGCAGAGTGGCGGGAGTCGTGAAGAAGTACGTGAGCCTGTGGGTCAAATCGCCCATTCCGAGGTGAAGAAGCAAGGAAGTTGGGGTCGGCTATGGTATGCGGAGTACAAGAGGGTTGTGCCTTATAAAGCAATTCCATTTGAACATTCCAGAAAAAATCTAGACACTGGCGAATTTCCCAGCAAATACTTTTCGACCGACCTAGCACATTACCCTTTACCTGTATTACTCAAATTTCAGAGTGCGCCGAAAACGAAATCATCCGAATCAAATCGTGCAATTGTGCGTGCTGTTTTCTTTCGACAAATCTTTAGGTGAAACCGACAGCTCATGTGACGTTATTTTGAAGGTCGTCAGTAAAGAATCGAAGGTACAACTACAAAAGCGTGAAGCCGAGCCCCAAGTTGCACAACATCCGGGTGAAACACATGTTTCGACACCCGAAAGCGAGGGTAAACAGAAAAAGGCGAGTCTTCGGTTTCGTCCATTCAACGGATTTTGTATCGCAAAAGACCTATGTCAACTATTGAATACTTTAATCAACTCTACAATGTGGGTGAAATGATGAATGCACCCAATTTG